TTGTTTAAATCCCAGCACATCCCAGTTGCCATTTCAGCAATCGCCTGCCCTGGCATACATTGCCATGTTGTCTGAATCTGGGTGGCATTGTGCATTTGAGGGGAAAACAACCCGCAAACCTGCGAGAGCCTGTGACTGTTACATGGTTCTGTGGACGCAGCCAGATTGCATTGACATTTCCTCAGTATCTGCATTACATTGCTAGCTTGTGTTCAGCTTGGGATGAGCCTGGGCACCTTGGTCCCTTTCCCATGTACTGGAGCCAAGGCAGATCTGTCCTCATGCCTTTGGATTGTTTTTGTTTTTCTCATAAATGCAGGCCTTAACATTTATTTCCATTGAAGTTTGCCTTGTTAAATTTAGCCCAGAGTTCCAGCCTGTCAAGGTCATTTTGTCATTGTAGCCAAACTCTCATAGCAAAAATGAGTACAATGGTAGAAAGGCCTGTTTTGGGGGACCAAATCTGGATGAAATTGCTTGTTTGTATCTTAAATGTACATTGGCCATGACACCAAAGTGCAACTTCCATGTTTGGGTTATACTTAATGAAGGCCAGATGCATGGAGCTTGCCAGTGGCAGCCAACGAGCCAGTGACGCTTGGAGGAACCCTTGGTCATCTTGTAGCAGGGAGCGTGTTGTGTTCTTTACCTGGGTAGGACGCTTGTGTGCCCATGTGCAGACTTACCCCTCTGAGCTTCACAGTAGAGAACCCATGAAACTAACCATATTGTGTTTTGTAGCGTGGCTGTTACTAACACCATCACTTTCTCTTTGAAATGTGGAAGGGGAGTTCTTAAATGGGAGCATAAAGCTATTTTCCCTTCTCTTAAGTTGTGTTCAGTCATGTTAGATTCAATTTGAGTGTTGCATAATCATGTACAAGTTGCTGGAACCAGAGACTATGTGGTCTGTTTCTACTTATTAGTGTAATACAGGATCTGCTTTATGCTTTCCGGTTACAATTTTAAAAATCTGGATAAACATCCTAAAGAGAAATTCTGTTTTCACTGCCTTCTGCTCTACTGTCACTAGACTGCTTTCTTTTTATTCAATCTGCCACTGAAAACAGCCCCATGGACTGATGCAGCTTGCTCTGTTCACAGTCCCCAATAAGCACAGTTCGTAATTGCATACACACCTTCTTTTTTGGTCAAACGTCTTGCAATAGGGTTCTTTCTGGCCATTGTTCTATTCCTTCTACTTTATGACCGGTCTTTTTCTTTTAACCAATACATTTGTATGTACAGTATGTAAATAAAATGTGCATATAGTGAATACTATACATAGCAGTAGTTGGGCACTGTTTTCTCCACATTTGGCCAAAATTTGGTCACATTTACTGGACATCATGGTGCGTTCACAAACATCATCAATGGGTATTTTATACATTGACCAGTTAATGTACATTTTCCTCAGTCAGAGAGTAGAAATGACATTCACCATTGTCACTTGGAAGTTCCACATATTGAACGATAAGCACAGTCACCTTTTCATTATGCTAATGCGTGCAGTTTTTCAACAACAGCTGATAAGGGGGTATATTAGTCAGTGTTATGCACATTCCCTATTCTGTTACATTAAGTGTAACATATGTATGCTTCCTTGTGCACATATACACATGCTTTCTCTTAAATTAGCTTTTGGAATGAGTTCCTAACTTTATGCAACTCTATCCATCCCAAGCCTTGTGCTCCTATTTACAATCTTTCCCCACAAAAGGGTTTCAAGCTGATTTTATGATATTTGTATGTTTGGTTTAAGCACACGTAAGTGCAATTGCAGACACTCTGTTTTGATTTTAGAGGGGGGAAATAGCAGCATAGAATGTCAGTTAATGGAAGATGAAGAGTAACATGAAGAGCAACAAGATGGAAATACGGTGAGAACAGGTTTTAAGTACTTGTATCGCCTCGACTTTCCTTGCTAGCTTTTTACCAAATTGCTGCTGGAGAAGCCATTAAGAGCAAGGCTGTTGCTCGAAGTGTGTTTAATAGGTTTTATTACTCATGATGGTCATTTTCTCACATTTATATTTGAATTTTAAATACGGTAGGAGTCAAAGAAATTGAAGAAAAGCTCAAACATAGTTTTGTTCAAGGGGATGTGGGACTCTAAACTACATAGCGAGGGCAGCAGTATTATAGTGTAATTTGGTTCCAGAACTTGGGCGTGGCATTACTTTCTGAATGGATTCTGAAGGGTGTTTTGCTTTCATGTCCTTAAGGCACAATCCTATGGGTGTTTTGGCAGAGGGAAGTGGTACAACCTCCCATTCCCCAGCCAGCCATGGCACAGTTGCGCTGCTTTATGCTGGTTTGGGAGTGGGCTCTTAATCCGTGACTTTGCCCTATATCAGTACTCTGAAACTTAACCAGTAAATTAATCCTACCACAGTCCCCTGCATTTTAGTAGAATTTGAGCTGTTTAGCATCTAACAAAAAGTGTATGGCTTTAAAGTAGTCAGTTTTCCAAAATGGGGGCTTCTTTCTTTTAAGGTGTGGAAATCTAATTAAGCCAAAAGGCCAAAGTCTGAACATTAAACTGTTTCAGCATAAAAAATAAAGTAATTGCTTTCTGGAAGAGATGACTGCCAGTGTATATAAACAAAACAAAGTCTCTTGAAGGATGCAGCCTTAGGGCTTCTTTGCTTTGCATATGATTTAACATGTACCCATTTTCTGGTCTATAGCACTAGCTTGCCACGGTAGCATGCAGCAATCCAATCTGCAAAATCAGGAAAAAAACATAGCCCATACGTTCCAAAAATATCTTTGCTCTGTGTCAAAAATTCGTGATTTGTAGGAACTAGATAAACCTTCTTCCTCACATGCTGTTTCTCTGTGTGCTGGAAGTCCTCTGCTAGGTGGGTGGGCTCAACCCCTTCCGCTGCAAATGCCTGCACTCTGAAATACGGTGGAGCCAGGGCAACTTTACCAAAGGTTCACCTCTCCCCGCCTGCCCCATGTATCAGCCTTAAATGTAGCTCAGCTTAATTCTCACGCGTAATGGTGAGATTACCATCTGTCGTTGAAGAAGTACATATTTCAAAGCAACCTCTCCTTGTGAATAAGGCAACTTCCTTTCTTCAGTGGTCCGTGATGCTTCTTTGGATCTTACACAGTATCTTGTTCTGTGAAAACTTCTGTTTTGTGTGTTGGATCCTGCATCATCTCTTTAATAAGGGACTGTCTAATTTGGCTAATGCTCCTTTTAAACATATTTTTGGCAATTTCCAGTAGCCACTTCTTTTTGGGAGAAGGTTATTACATAGACAAATTTTGTACTGTAACATGTTTTAATAAAATACACTCCTTTAGATTACTTACCTGCTTCATGGTGATGCACAAATGGTTCACATAGATGGATTTCTACACTCTTTTGACAGTTAAAAGACTGACATTTCGACTCCTATAATGTGATGGATTGAGGATTTTACATTGCTTTTGGCATTTGGATGAAAGACATAGAATGACTTATTTGAATATTGGCTCTACTTTTATTAATGTATAAAAAGTTGTACATATTTGCTATGTAATCATTGCTTGTGTGTGTGTGTGTGTTCACAAAGCAGGAAAGGGTTAAAAAAAAGTGGGGGTCACTGGAAGTATATATCAGATGTTGGAGATTCCAATATAGTGCCTACAACTTTCTAGGAATCATATAACAAATGCTGGGTGGTAGATCATGAGTTGACCCAACAAACCCGCTTCTCATCTTAAGTGAGATTGCATCCTGGGGGTGACTTAATGCAGATGAGTTGTGCCTCCAGTGGTGAGACTCCCGAGCATGCATGCTTGCTTCATACATTTTAAAATAATCAGTGAGCCATGGGGAAGTTATGATTTTGCAAAATAGGCTCACCCTGGCTCTGTGTTTTATATGGCAAATGATTTTATCTATCTATGTATTTATTTTATCAGATTTCTATTCCTCATTTTCCTTTTTAAAGAACTCACAATGGCTGTCATCATTCTCCTCTTCCTGTTCTCAATCTTATCTCCACAGCAACGATCCTGTTAGGTAGGTTGGGCTGAGACTGGTCCAAAGTCACCCAGTTGGCTCCAAGACTGAGTGAGGACTAGAAGCCTGAGTCCCAAACCTCTCAACTATGGTCAGAGGTTATATTGGAATTATATATTTTAATTAATTAAACTTAATGGTTAATTCTAGCCAAGATATGTTAGTAACCAGGAAAATTGTGGGTATGGAGCAGGCATTCCATGACTATTCCTTCACTATTAATCATGGTAATGATATGAATAAAAGAAAATATGTATCCATAACTGCTCAACCTGAACTCTTATGACCCAGAGAAAATTGATTTCAGCTTTCCATAGCAACATTCCTGATTAAGACAGCAAATATGAAGATTTCAGTATTCGTAATTCTTGCTGCTGACTGCTCTTAGTGTAGCTGCAAGTGGCTGTGCTGATTCTACATACAGAACATTTCCTCAAAAGCACTTCTTTTCTTACACAGAAAGTAGTAGTACATCTCGAAGGTGCTTGCTGGTTCCTTTTACCAGTTGGTCAGTATGGGGAGAAGTAACATTTAAACAGCACCAAACCTTTAAAGGAAGAATCCATCATAACAAACCAAAGAGCTGCCTAGAAAAAATGCCTTCAACATTGACTGTGTTTTCACTCAGGCTGGATGGTTCTGCAAGGGCGAACCTCTTCCAGCCCAGCTGCATCCTTCAGGTTCATCAAGTGGCCAAATAAGCAAAGCACAACATATGTGCTACCCTGGTTTCCCCATGGTAATTAATTAGCACTAGTAGATAAGGCCTTGCAACATCTGCAAGGGAACAGCAGCCAAATCCATGAATCCCTCCAATATATGCATGCTTGACTGCTGGTTGCTAACCCATTGTACCTTTTTCTTCGCGTTGTACAAGTTGTGAACTTGAGTTGTATAAGCGAATTCTTCCCGTTGAGTTTGAGTTTGCAGTGAAATATGAGTGGAACGTGATAAACTCCTCTTTCTTCTTCTTTTGCAGTGCTTTGTGCCAAGAATCTTGCAAAAAAAGATTTCTTCAGTAAGTAGTTGGCAAGCATCTATACACTTTTTCTTGTTTTTACCATCGACATATTTAAACGATTACCCTGATGTTACCCTTTTCCTCGCATGTTTCTGTTGGGAGCATTTAAGGCTAGTTTCTCAAGAGCTGGAGACCTACCTGTGTGAAATTTTTGGTGAGCAGTCCCTGCTGCGATCATTCCCCATGAGCAACTTAAAATCAGATCTCGGTTCTGACCGTCAACGGGCAAATAAATGCCTGTCCACTCTTATTCTCATCCCTTAAATCAAAAATGCCACTATAAGGCATGGGAGATACTGGCTTTTTTGACACAATGTTATTAACCCACAGAGTGGATAAAAATAAATTTAAAAAAGGAGAGAAATTGGATTTTGAAATTTTAATTAGATTTTTTGTTTAAAATTGATTTTTTAATTTAAAACAGTTTTTTATTTAAAAGAGATTTTTTAAATAAAATGCTTTTTGAGGAAAATTCTATCTAAAAATAGTTTTCTATTTAAGATAGAATATAGTCCAACGGTTATTCATCACGAAATGAGGATTAACTTTTAATTATGTAGCATGAACCTGTATATTCATGCAATGTTTAAATTTTTTGATAATGGATTTCATTAATCCATTCACAATATTATGCTCTTCCAGAGGTATCTGTAAGATTATTGGATGATTTTTTCTTCTAGAAGATATTATCACAGATGATTGGTTTTACAGTTCTCAAAACTGAATTTGAGTCTGCAGAAATCACATGCCTCTTCACAGCAAAAAATGTTGTAAAATAAACATACAAAGTTGACAAAAACTTTAATCCCATTGTTCCTTTGCATACACAGAATCAGCTTCTTACTTAAGTGCTAAATTTCCAAAAAATTCAATGAATAGCAGAAGATTGTTGGGAGTGGAATAGATCTGCACAAGAAGCTAAGTGTGAGGAGAGTGGGGCAAGCAGTAAAAATGAAAGGGAAACCTTTTGAGTAGAATATTCATAAGTCTTTGGATCTGTTTGAGTATATTGTCAGGTTTTTCATATTATTATTTCCCTGGAAGAGAAAACCTATAATGGCAGCAGGCCATAAAAGAGACCTTTGAAGTTTCTTTACCTATGAGCAAGGCAGGCATGCATGCAAATGATGTAGAAAACCATGATTTAAATCTAGTCTTGACAAGTGATTTGAATTGCAATTTGAATCAATTTGATTTAAATCACATCCACTCTGTTAACCCATAGAGCATTACCATGCAAATGATGCCCTTTCCTTGGGGACGCTTGTTGTGACAGGCTGAAAACTCATACAAGAGAGAGTTGGATGTAAGACAGTGGGAAATATCCCTTGGATTTCCAAGAATTTCAGTTTAATCCTGAAATGCTATATCACAGAAGTGTTAACATATTCTGCTTCTCAGGAAAGAGTGGGAAAACCCTTTTGGTACAAACAAGTAGGCAGTGGGGATTATATATTCCAAACAACACTTAATATCCCCTGTATTTCTGTCTTGTACTTTTGCCTTTTGGACTTTATATTGGGTTTCTTTGACTTATGCTGTCATGGAATCCCTTGTAGATGAAAGGCAACTTAAAAGTTTTAGAGATAAATAATTGTGCATTTTTTTCACCCTTATTGAGTAGGTTAAATGGTTCCTTCTGGTGATTCTGCCTGCCTTGATTCTCTGCAGGGCTTCCCGACCCATTTGCAAAAGTCGTGGTGGATGGATCTGGTCAGTGCCACTCAACTGACACTGTGAAAAACACATTAGATCCCAAGTGGAACCAACACTATGACTTGTGAGTTGCCTGTTTCGCAAAGCATAATTTTACAGAATGGAGATCCAATTACCAACTAGTCTGTCCACAAAAAATGACTTACTCACCCCCATCCCCATGTTTGACGGTCTGTAGTTATTTGAAGAATTTATATCCTGTCTTTCTGCCAGACGACAGGCTCCAAGATGGCTTGCTTTGTTATATTGTTGATGTTTATTGTGTTTATATTTGTTGATGTTCTTGTGTATTTATGCAGTAACAAAATTAGAACAAAAGAAGACTAACACAGAGACATGAGATTATGTTTGTAGAACTAAGAAAGCATTGGTGATTGCAAAGGATACAGGGAGCCCGTGTGAGAAAATATCTCCCGCAGCTGTTGCCAGTAGTGTCTAAAGCAGTGGCGGTGGCGGGCTGGGGCAAGGGACAGAAGCTGCCCCCTCTGTAGGCATGATTGTGAGTGATCCTGGCTACATAATAACTTCCCGGTCTGAACTCTTCCAAGCGTGAATTAAATCCTAAATATTTTAGCCAGGATCCAAAGAGCTACTTTAGGTCTTGCCCAAGAGTTTGAACATGCCCATGCGGACTATTTAACTTTCAGTCTCCCTTTTAAAAGTCCCTTGTGTTGGGAGCAAGAAGGATGGTGAACTCGGGCAGCTGTCCCCACAGACTACTAGCCACATTCCAGATGGTGATTCAGAATCAGAAAGTGAGGAATGTTCCAGTGGGATTGGGGAGCATGGGTTATTGCAGAGTTCTGGGATGCATCAGGAGGAGGAGAGGAATATCTCAAGAGCGGCTTTGTCCAGCCAGGCAGTTCCTGGGAATGGCTAGGATGCACAACTAGTGGGAGGGGCTGCTGGGGAGGAAGACCTGTCAGTCACAGGCTCCTCCCTCTGTGCCTGACCCCGTGGCAAGGCGTCAGCAGAGGCAAGAGGCACGACTGAGCGAGCAGCGCATGGCAAGGAGGCACGCTCACCTTCGGAGAGCCCCTCCCGAAGGGTTGAGGCCCAGGCATTTTTATAAATAGAGTTCCTGGAGGTAAGCACTAGATGGGGTTCAACAAACTGCCCTGTGCACGCTCAGAGATTGTTCTGGGTGATTTGTACTTGGGAGCATGAGTGTTTTTCAGGGAAAATGGCCTGTGGCTTTTGACTGCTTGAAGGAGGAACCTCAGCTCATGACCCCTTGGTTTTGCAAGTGGGTCACCACATGGTGGTTTGAGAAATTCAAGGCCAGGTGCCCTTAGGAGCACCGAGTGGCCAGCATGAGTCCTTGGATTTGGCCCATATGCAGTAATCGTCACTTGCCCTGTGTATTCTGGCTAGAGGATTGTGTATTAATGGAGTAGCTCAGAATTCAAGGAGGGAGGCAGAATCTCCATATCCTAATGAGCTCAGCACTTCACAGTTTCTAATAAGGTTGTCTGTAATTAACAAGAGCTGGTACATTATCAGTTTAACATGCTGTGCAAAATTATAGTGATCTAACGATTAATTACATGTTTCTATATTTGATAAAACTGCAGCGTGACCAAAGCATTATTAAAATGAATCCAGTCTTCATGAATGTAAATGCTGTGCTGTAGCAAAGGAATGAACCTCAATTAAATACTGTCCCATTCTGATCATTTTAGATACGTTGGGAAGTCAGATTCTATCACCATCAGTGTCTGGAACCATAAGAAAATACACAAGAAACAGGGAGCTGGCTTCCTGGGGTGCGTCCGACTCCTTTCCAATGCCATCAGCAGGCTAAAAGATACCGGCTGTAAGCATTTTAACCTTCCAAATGTTTGCTATGATTGGCAGTACTTTGTGTCTGCCTAGTGAATGTTGATTGCCGGTTGCGTATGTTCTTCGGTCAAGTTTTGTTTTTAAATTGTTTATTTGCAGACCAGCGTTTGGATCTATGCAAACTAAACCCCACAGATACCGATGCAGTACGAGGCCAGATAGTGGGTAAGAAGAAAACATTCCTGTCTGCATAGATAACAACACAGTCACTATTTTCTCCATCCCTTTGTATTATTTATTTATTTATTTATTTATTTCTATATTTCTGTATTTATTTAGAATATTTATATGCCGTCCTTTCGCAGAGCCTCAGGATGGCTTACATAAATAAATAAGAATAGTAGTATAACACATAATACAAATAAATTCCAGATCCACCCTGGCTGCAGATTGAAACATATATAGCTAATATTAAAAGTTATTAAAATATTGTTGAAATAAAAAGGTCTTAGCCTGGCACCGAAAAACAAATAACGACAGTGCCAGGCGGACCTCTCTGGGAAGCGCATTCCATAGCTGCATATTTCCTCCATCCCTTTGGATTATTTATTTATTTATTTATCTTTATTTATTTATTTATTTATTAGATGTATAGCCCACCTTTCTCCCAATGTGGAACTCGAGGTGGCTGCATGTGGTTCCCAGGTGGTGTCTCCCCTCCAAGCTCAGGCCAGCCCCAAGCCTGCTTAGCTTCAGCATGGTGGATACCTTATGCGCACACATGCTTTGGGATAGTGATTTATGCAAGCTTGTCACCTGAAGATGCTTTAGCAGAACAATAACCAGTGGGTCTAAGTTAGAGAATGGGCAGATGAATATTTTTCCAGCAGAATGTCAGTTCTGGACACACTTGAAATCCATCTTGTTTGTTCATCCATCTGCAGTGCTTTAAAAAGACACATTCAATTTTGTATTATTGTTAATGCATTTTCAATAAAATGTGCATGATTGTACACCTTTTAGCTTAAGTATGAATTTATGCACATTTTGAGCTGAGGACTGTATCACAAAATGTAGGGAAATGTGCACGCCGAAGGATAACTGTATTCCAGTCCGCATATCAGTCCTGGAAGTGTCGATTAGTTCAGTTCATATGAAAATGGGGACTGAACTCACACATCCACAGTGGAAACGGTAGACAAAGTAATTTTTGACTCAACCATGGGAAATGCATCCTCATGATCAGAGCCATTTGAGAGTGGAACAGATTGCCTTGGGAAGCGTTAGCTCTTTGCTTGGAGCTACATCAGCACTGCCAGCACTGGACTAGACGACCTGCAGAGCCCCATCCTGGAGTGCACCATTACAGTTCTAACTTCATCTGGTTCCAGATGGAGGTCACTGCCGTTGAGTGGGGTTAGCAAGACGGTGCTCACTGTCACGCTCTGCTGAATTGCTGGTTGTCAGCTTCAGAGTAAGGATCAGCCCTTGGATGTTACCTTAAGTCCAGTCACAGATGGTTTTTAAATGTTATTACCCCAGAGCACTTTTACCACGAGTACGGTCTTTCCCACTTGCGAGGATCTCCCGTTGGGGTCCCCTCCCAGGCGCCTTCTTTCTCAAACCTGATTGAATATGGCAGAGCGCTCTCATTTTGGCATCACCTTCAGAGGAGTGCTGCAAGGCTGGATGTATTTGTAGTTTTTCAGCTGCAAGTTAAAACGTTTAAGCGTCTTAAGTCCAGCTTGGAGCTCTTAAACAAATTAAATGTAGCGGGCTTGCCAGAATATGCTGCAGTTACAAAGCTACGGAATAGCTGACCCTCCTTTCCAGAGAGAGCAGCTTGTCAGACTCAGTGCTGAGGCTGTGTTACGAGAGAGAGCTGCCCCAGGTGGGTAGCACATGAGCTTTGGGGCAGGACTGTTGGCAGCCAGCTCTGTTCTAGCCACTGCACAGGCCTTGTTTTGTCCCATGCTAACACAGTGTCTGTGTGGCCGTCTCAGAGACGAAGCTGCTGAATTGTGGCTTGGACCAGAAGATGCTGCCTTCTGTGGAGGGCCGCTCCATCTTGCTGTCTGGAAAATGCATTTAGGAAAAAGCAGATGTTAAGACTCTTCTTCCTCTGAAGCAAGAAAGGCATGGCAGGCAAAGGATGCTTTCCATTTTGCAGTGCCATCTAGTGGCAAATATTCTGTTTTCTGGCTGTCTGGAGATGAAACAATTTTGCAGATGTCTGTTTACACAGAATGTTTAATATTTTAACCAAAGTAAGGGGGTATTGGAGATGGAAATAGATCTAAGTCAGGATTGTTGTGCAGCAAAATCTTGTGCTGTGCTGATTGCTTACATATGCTTGTTCCCTTAGGGAGTGGCAAGGGTTTTTCTCTTGAAATTCTTTTCTTTGTCGGTGGAGATTTATTGAATTATCACAATTTAAAGATAAAATGACTATTAATACAAAATGTCAGTGCACTCCCTTAGGCCCTCTGTCTTCATAAGAAGGGGAAAATTAGCTTTACATGTAGATGATAGACAGATATTCTAGGTTATAAAAAGCAGCAGAAATGCTGGCCACATCGAATTAAAATCCTTTAAGGAGTTTGTTGCATTTTCACTGACATTTGATAGATTTGTGCAAGTTGTATCTTTGAATATCAATTTTGGCTTTCCTTTTTCTCATTCCAGTCAGCTTACAGACACGGGACAGGATAGGCACAGGAGGGTCAGTTGTAGACTGCAGGGGGCTGTTGGAGAATGAAGGGTAGGTATTTACCTTTACGTGTCTCTTTGCTTTAAACCCACACGATCAAATGAATTAATGCTCCCTCTCTTCTGGGGAATGCGAGCCACTGAGTAAAATGCTAAATGTAAAGCTTTAGGAGTAAGAAAAATAATCCTATAAAATGAACAGGTCTTGCTTTTGTGAATTGTGTTGAATGGAAAGTTTAGGGGACAATTTTAGAAATCTTTTCCTCAGGTTTAAAAGCAGAGTGCAAAACGGGCAACAAAATGATCGTGCTAAACTAATTACCCTCAGCCAAGGATGAAATGGGTGGATGCTCAGCCTGTGGCTGCCACGCTTCTACCTTCGCCAGGATCTAACTCATTCAGATCTTACTAGGAGAGGCCGTTCTGGTCCAGGAAGCCGCCAGAGCGCTCCTTCCCTTTTCCTGGTACGCGGCAATCCACTTCTGTGTTGCATCGTGACACCATCACACGTCACTGCCTTTGTCAAGCTCCAGCGCGGTGGACCCATGGTGTGGACCGCAGAGAAGCCAGCTTTGGCTGGTGGTTTTGTCAGAGCAGTATTGTGGCAAAGAAAGCTCACACACAAATACCGCAGCTCTTCTCGCACACCCCTGTGAGATCTCTCCCTAGAGCAGGAGGGTCTCTTTGTGCCGCCCTGTTCTTGGGTGTGAGAAGCGAACCAGCCTAGCATCACCTCTCTAGCCCAGTTGTTGGTTTCCTTACCTTTGTTCTGGGAAATGGCTGAATCCATAAAGCACGTGCTTCCTACCTTTCCTTCCCCATCCCACTGATACGAGCTGCATAGTCTTTGAGAGAGCTTGGTGGCGGCTGAGTTTCAAGACACTCGCCTCTCGGTTGCAGCCCAGGCGACGGTCTCCCTTTTGTGCTGCCAGGGTGTGCCTGAAAAGAGGGAATCGGTTCCTCCCCGAAGGACATTTCTGTGACATTCCTCTCGGCTCACGTCGGAGCCTCTAACTGTATGAGCCTCCCTGCTTTCAGAACGGTTTACGCGGACTCGGGACCGGGAAGGCCACTGAGCTGTTACATGGAGGAGCCGGCCCCATACACGGACAGCACTGGTGCCGCGGGCGGAGGGAACTGTCGTTCTGTGGAATCCCCTGGCCAGGACCAGACATTGCAGGTGCAGCGATTGCGAACGCCTGACGTGAGAGGCCACGGACAGACCCCCCAAAACAGGCCGCATGGGCACCAGTCGCCATCGCCTGATCTGCCTGAAGGCTATGGTAAGGCCATTGCCGCCTGCTCCCCAGCCTGGTAAACGGCTAAACCAGATGCCGGAGATGGTGGGGGAGGCGGGCACACGTACGCACTGGAAGCGGCATTGTCTCCCACATTGGGCATCGCTCCTGGCAAGCTTCCTAGCAAGGTTGCCCAGGTTTTCAAAGCCTCCTGCCAGCTCTGGTCCTCTTTCCCCTTGGAGCTCCGCTGGTTCTAAGCTTGCTTTCCAGCGGCACTTTATTCCCTGTGAATGTGTGACTCCAGTGTCTGGGTTTCCCTTGTCTTTCTCCCTGCACCCTTCCTCTTCTTTGCGGCTTTTCTTCCGCTTTCCTGGGTGGAATGAGTGAGTGTGTGGTGGGTTGCTTTTTTCATATACTAGTCTTTAGTCACAGCTGATGTTACAGACACTGACTGTGTTGTATTCTGTGACTTACCTGTTCTCATTTCCAGGTATTTTCAGTACTGCAGGGCCAGGTTATTTCTTACAGAAGAAGGAAAGGGGGAGTGTTTTGTATGTTCCAAAATAAATAACAATTCTTCAATAAAACACTAATAACTCTTTTTATAAGCAGTCCTGTACAAATTTCCCAGAGTGTGGATTGCTTTCACAGTATGTCCACACACTTCTGTTCTGCTAAAGTTCAATGTTTCCCCCAGCATTTTGGTGTAAAAGCAAATGGCAGAGGAAAATGAAAATTACCTGGAAAACCCCCTACAAAAAAAGTGGTATATAAGAAATTGCAACATTACGTTTTCATCGTAATTGTTCAGCTAAGGAAATAATCTTGGAAATAAGAATCTGGAACACAGAAATGACTGCCTGGGTAGATCGAGGGTGATATAGGTGAGGTGAGCTAGAACAATAAGCCATTTTAGTTGGCCACATATAGTGGTCACATTTCTACCTTTCCTGGAGCCTTAAAAATCGGGGAGTGACAAAACCGGATCAGCTTTTAAAATAAATGTTCAGGCTTTGCAGAGTATCTGATACAACCCTTGTTCTGCTCTTCCCTTTGTTCATCACAACTAGGCCAAAGTGTAATTACCGTGAATGAAAATATAAAAGAGCCTCATGAAGCATTATTTGAGCGTAAGGTGGTCTGTTGGTGAGGCATTTTTTCTTTTGAAATGTTTATTGTATCTTTCTCCCTACCCGACCCTTGCCCTTCTCTTTCTGTCTAGAACAAAGGACAACAGTACAGGGGCAAGTTTACTTTTTACATACACAAACGGGTGTTAGCACGTGGCATGACCCCAGGATACCAAGGTGCGTATATTTCCCTCCATGCCAGTCGGAGCTGATCTGGGTTTGGGGAGGTGGCTGAAGTGCAGTGCCCGTGTTTTGAGACTCCCCCCACCATTCCTGTTGAAGTGATTCTTTGCAAAGCCTAGTGCTTGGGTTGGGGTGGGGGTCAGGTCGTTTTGTACACGTTAGGTTTTGTTACACAAGCATTGCCACCTTCAACTTTTTCTTCAGGCTTGTTCAGACAACTTCTGGTGTAATGTTGGTGTTACACTAAAAAAAAAAAAAAAAAAAATCAAACATGCCTCAATCGTTCCTTTTCTGCTTTCGGTAGAGACCTTAACAGTGTGAATTGTGATGAACTTGGACCTCTGCCACCAGGCTGGGAAGTTAGAAGTACAGTGTCAGGAAGAATATATTTTGTTGATCATAACAACAGAACCACGCAGTTCACAGACCCAAGACTCCATCACATCATGAAGTAAGGAACCAGTGCAATACTACTTAAATATGAGTCTCCGAATTATATTAGCAGACTAGGGTCCCATTAAAGAAGGAAGTCATAGCAGCCAGGGCATAAAAATGTAAATGCTGAAATATTTTACGATCTAGTGTTAACAGAGGGACGTCATAACCGGATTCCCTCCAGCAAAGGCTAAAATTTGACAATCAAATTGAACATACCGTCAGCACCAAACCTGCACAGCTTGCTCCACACACTCAAAAGGGGCTTGGCTGTCTCCCCATCCACCCATTGAATGCACCACTTACCAGATTACTTCTGAAACTGGAGTTTTTCAAAGCAGTTAGCCATATGGACTTTGGAAGCTGCCCCATACCTTAGCAGAGTCCCTCTAGCCCAGTGCTGCATAGTCTTGGTAGCAGTGGCCCGCTGGATTTGGACGGAGAAGGGCCATTCTCCTCCTTTTTAACTGGAGGGGTCAGGATTCCACCCAGAGTGGCTACACCCCAAGCATTTACTCTGCCATTGAGCTATAGTTCCGCTCTTCGTATGGCACAGCTGATGGCTCCTCTGATTTACACCATGAATGGAAGTGGCATCAGAGGGCGGCCCCTAGGGCTGCAGCCCTGACTCTCCAGGTGGCCACCTGCTTCACCCCCCTGTTGTCCATGGGCACTTGCTGAAATAAAGGCACAAGGGCCCAGATGATGTCTGTTGCATCGAATCCCCCTGGACCGGCTGGGTGTTTGTGCACATCTGCTTCACCTCCTGCTGCCCACCTGTAATGACTCCTTCTGCCTGAGTTTTTTGCTGGAACCAAGTGCCTTCCTTTCCCATGTCCATACACCCCTCTTTACAGATAGAGATGTCCTTCCCAGCCCTTCACAGACACATGCCAACAGGCTGTAGAGCCTGTTTTTTTCAGTGCCGTGAACTTTAAATGGTCTGATAATGTGTAACATTTTAAAGTTTTGGATAACTGATCCAAAACTGTTGGGAATTCTTTTTCCGGAGTGGATGTATGAGAATTTATGGACTTGAAACAAGTACACTTTCTCCTTCTGGTTCTAGTTGTCCAGAGTATTACCTGAAGACATCTGTATTAGATCATTATAGCACCAAAGTGGTCTTATCTTTGAGAAGCAAAGTTCCATTACTGCCTAGCCAAGAGGTACAAGCATGGAAGGGATGTAGAAATCTTTTTGAGACATGTTGAAATTTGGACCAAGTCTCTGCCAAAATAAATTACTGTTTTTGTTTCCAGATGGGACACAGATGTGTTTGCTTCAACAGACTAGCACAGTATCCCTTATGAAATATAACTAATTATATTCCCAACCTAGTCTATATATTTGTATTTTCATCAGTTTCCATGTGTACTTGTTTAAAAATGTCAAAATAATACATATAAAATACATTGATGATAATTATTATATGGCATATAATAATATAATCATGGACTAGTAGCCAAAGCTCTCTGGGCCCATTTACAGCAGCTCAAATACAAATAACAACGCATCACCATAACAGTTACATCGCAAAGTTACTTTTTTCTTCTTATTGCCCTTTTTGAGAATAAGATTTCCTCCTTTTTTCCTCCCCAAGTCACCAATGCCAACTAAAAGAACCCAACCAGCCTTTGCCAGTGCCCAATGAGGGGTCTTTAGAAGACAGCGAGGAGTTACCTGCCCAGAGATACGAACGAGACCTGGTTCAGAAGCTGAAGATACTCAGGCACGAACTCTCTCTCCAGCAACCCCAAGCTGGCCACTGCCGCATTGAAGTATCCAGAGAAGAAATATTTGAGGTATGTAGATCTGTGTCAAAGATAGCATGAGGCTGAATACCTTCCCGCTGCCTGTATGGAGTGGCTCCAAATTTCTTCCAAGAGTTGCTTCTCATAAAATGCGCTTGGCCCTTGTGAGGCCTAAACATGAATTAAATCTGCAGTGCGCTTCAGGCCCAGGTTAAAGTCTTGCTGCTGCTCACTTCCAAAGTGTGTGACATGGTTCCATCTATTTATGGTGTGCTAGTTCGGTTGGTCCACAAGGTAACATTGATACATGCCTAAAGCACTAAGAAGATTAATTAAAAGTGCAATCCTGTACAAGCTTAGAAAAGTCTAGGAGTTGTAGGCCTTTTTTCTCTAAACTTGTTTAGGAGTGCACCCTGAAATAATGTCTCACTATTGTAGTTGAGATTTGCTATTAAATTCAGCAAAGGAGTATGAGAACTTGTCTTTCTGTGCTATTCCTGAATTAACTTGCTGGCTTCACATTTGCCTCTTGTATATCACTGTGCTTGTTTTTGTTTTACTTGTTTCCTAGTTTTGCATTTTCTATGTTTAAACTTTGCTGAGCTTTTTCGATCCTCCTTGTTGAGCTTTTTCGATCCTAAATGAGGAACAGACACGTTTTTCATAAACAACAAATTCAAACTAACAGGCACTAAATGTCTGATAGAAAGTCCCGAATCCCATGAAATACATGTTCAGGCAGTAGAAATATTGTCTCAAGTTTGTTTAGATAAATAAGCTGCCCAGATATTATTTTTCTAGTTGAAGCTTTGACTGATTTGAAAACGTTTTTAACTAGGATTCTCCAAGAGAAGAATCCCCTTCAAATGTTCAAACCTCCTATAATTGAACCTCGGCTATACTAGGAGTTACTACACCACTGCATGTGGGGGCTATTCATTCAGAGGGCTGAAGGAGCAGAATGGACAGTACTGATCCAGACTGCCGCTGGGAGAAGAGTACTTTGGCAAGCATCCTCCTGTTGTTGTTGGTTTTTTTAAATACTGGGGGAAAATAATCGACTGGAGCGTCAGGAAGAGGTGTCACCCAGCCTTTGGCCTGCTTTGCTGCATTTCCGTTTCCACAGTCTGCTTAAGCCAGAGGAGCATTTAAATACGTGACCACCCACCTATAGTCTGAAGGGGTGCTGTCTATGTTACCAACTCATTCTACTGCCTGTGTTGATCAGGCTAAAGTTCTTATGCGTTTTTTCTGTCACTGCCCAGTGGAGAGAGAAAAACTTGTCCTTTTACCACCCAATGATTTTTTTTCTAGCATAAATTAGCCTTGTTAAGTGGGTGAGTTGATAAGGGTAATTTGGCCAGGATCCTCAAAACAACTATCGTATGTCCATGAAATTGGGCATGCCCAGTAGCGGAGGAAGGAGGGGCCAGTTCCCCTCATCCCCAAGAATATCAGATCCTAGCTTGCACAATCAAACCCAGCTGCTTTTTAAAATCTCTGGCACACGCCTGGGACCATATTTCCTTAATGACCTGCCTGGGCACGGCTTGTTAGAGGTGGAAACAGTCTCAGATCAGCCATGGCCTTTTGTGGGGTTGTGGCTTGTTTCGCTGGGCAGACTGATCGATCCAGCAACCTTTTTTAAGCCGCTTGCCCTGTGCTGGTTCAGAAGAGACAAGCACAAAGACTGTGGGATACAATGCAGCTGGTCTCTGCTGCCCCCCTTCCTCCCCATCTCGTGCCGTTGTGTAAAGCGAACCCCTTGTTCTTTCCTTAAAACTGAAAAGTCTTAGGTGTGTCAAAAAGTCAACTGAGGATACTTTCTGATGAAAGTTTGACAGTAAACAAGGATACAGAATATTTGCTGTTCTATTGGGGCAGTCCGTTAGCCTTTCTAAGGGGCCATAGGATGCTTTGGATTCCCCCACCTGAGAGAAGAAACAGTGCTATGCAGGGCAGAAGAAGTCGAGAAGCAGGGTCACCTCCTCCATTCCTCCCACCCTGCATAGGTCTATCACAGGTCTCTGAGTCTCCCATAGTCTTTTTGCACCTGAAGAATAGTTACTAGTCAAAGGGTTTTGACTGAAGGAGTGAAGCGTACCTTTAGTTAAGTCTCGCCTGCTTTTCTAATACTGGGAGGGTGCGTGAAGTCCAGTGACCCAAATGTACTTCTGTTTATTCAGGAATCCTACCGTCAGATAATGAAGATGAGGCCAAAAGATTTGAAGAAGAGGCTGATGGTGAAGTTTCGAGGAGAAGAAGGCCTGGATTATGGTGGAGTGGCCAGGTAGGCAGTCTGCTAAAGCGCAAAGCCTTGACAGGAAACTCTTTACTGAGCCAGCTTACCGTGGGTGTGCCAGCACAAACACTAAACCATGTTTTACTGTGGCGAGGATTCTTTGATTCACCCCCCTCCAGCATAGCTGCAAGGAGGTGGAAAGCGTCTGTTTCTTTTAACCACAGGTCTGCATTACATCCAGACCTTAAGTTGTTATTGGCTTCCATTCCTGTTTCCTGAAACAAATCGGCTTCATAACCTGCCATGTGAAGTTGGCTGGTTTTTGTGCCCCATAGTTTGTCTGAGCTCAAATGTCACAATAAGCTGCGGTTAGTCCAAAATAGATGTAAAAGCGTCTGAATGCTTTGCAACTGTGCAGGGGTGGGGAGGGAGGGAGGGAGGGAGGGGCAGGTGAGCCAAGCACTCACATAGGTGTTCTCCTCATAATGCTAAACTGTGGTTTAGGTGCATGGAATGGAGCAGAAAGGTGGGGTGCAGGGTTGTTGTTTTTTAATTGCAAAGGATTTGGAGGAAAATATTCAAGCATCTGAATTTCCCAGGACTTAGAAGCTATATAGGCTTGGGAAAAAATCCCAGTATTTCTGTTAACATTAGGAATTTATGTGTTTGAACACATGTATGTTCTGTCCACACCATCTGATGCCTCTCTAAAAGGTCATTTTTAAAGAATAAATCCTTGAGCTTCACACTGGCACAGAATTGCATGCTTAATATTTTGGAGATCTTGATTTCACCTTCTCAGAGGGCTTGTGGCCCTCCAGCAGGGCGCCTGTGCTTTCGCACTTTAGAACTGTGGGACTGTTTTGAGAACAGTTAGGCTCACAATCACCTCCTCCCTTTTTCCTCTTACTCTGATTCCTGTTTTTAAATGTTTAGCAATGGGAGCCCTATATTTTTGCATGCCACAGTGAAACAATTAGCCTTTAAAATACTGTAAGGCTCTCGGACAACTAATGTAGTCGCCTCTCTGGACTGCAGTTTGGGGGTTTCCCGAATCTTGTTCTGGCACCTTTGGAGGATGCTTCACATCCCCCTGTTCCTCCCCTTTTGGTGGCGGTGGCTCCCCCTGTCCCATCTCTTGTCCCAGTGATAGGCCTGTTTTTCATCCTGGGATCCTGCTCTAAAGCTGATCCGTGTCTTGCATCTGAACAATCATTTCCTGGGTTTGGCAGCTCTTCCAAGGGCTGAGTGCATCAGTGACTAAAATCACCGAGTAAGACTTTTTGCTTTTGTCTAACTCCACTGACACGTTCTCTAATCTTAAATTCCCCAGACAAAATTCATGTTGTCTGGGACTTTTTCCCGTTTGACCTCTCCCTTGTCATCACTGGTGTGTTGCAAGAGTCTCTTTATCTTGTCTGTGTTTTAAATCTGTCTAGACAATTGCTGAATCTTCCTCTGTGGCTTAACCAATGTCTCTATTTAACTTCAGAGGTTCCATATTATGCAGTTAAGCTACTCTGTTATTCCAAGTAATAACTCACCTCTGACTACCTTCACATGAAAATCTGCCAGTCCCCCGACTTCTCTCAGAAACTAACTTTGTATAAAAACGCATTTGTTCCTCTCTTTGTTTAGGCGCTTCCTCTTTGCCAGGCAGGTCTTACCACTGTCTGGAAAGTCCTTTTATTTAATTTGTATTGTAATAACTTTAACAAGAGACAGTAGTTTATTTAGCTTGCCCTCTGTGGCACACAAAGCTTCGGCCTCCCCTTTGGAAACTAACTCCCTTCTTGCTACTAAAGCAGTTTTTAAAAATATGTGTGATTATTTCTCTCCCCTCCTATGATTTCCTATATACATTTATTGGACTATTTGAGGTTCCAGCAAAGCTGAAACCAGTGATATTATTGATACAGTTGGACTGTGGTCTGCAACTTCCATTTATCCATTAGACAGTTTCACCAGCAGTGATGTCAGCTTTGCAAGAAGTGTCTTGCAGTGCCAGCGCCTTAGTTAGACCATCACTCGGTAAAGGAAAATGACCCATTTTCTGTATGCGATAGTTCTACTGGGAGGTAGCCAAAGAATTCTGAGAAACAAGTGAGTGCTTGTATTTTTTTTCTTTTCCAGTAGAGAATGATCAAAGGCATAGTCTTCTGATTTGTCTCCATATATTGCATCAAGTCTGGATTCTTTGTTTTCTTTGAAGTCGTCTTGTTGCCAATGAACAACAGATTCATAAATTACGGGATGGAGCAAAATTTCGCTCCCCTCCCCAGTCTCTCCTGAAACCTCACTGAAAAAACGCCTCTTGTCTTTCAGGGAGTGGTTGTACCTACTGTGTCATGAAATGTTGAACCCTTATTATGGACTCTTCCAGTACTCCACAGATAACATTTACATGCTGCAAATCAATCCAGACTCATCTATCAACCCTGTAAGTATTTGAAAACCCGAGGAGTTGTGTAGGTATGTTCAGAAAAAGCATCTTCTTTGTAACCATGGTAGTGATAAAGACCAGGATTGAAAGAGCAGCTCAGCTTGGTTCCCTGAGCGCAATGCAGCTTTAGCGACTTGCCGTTCTCAAGCAACAGTCCCCTTTGCCGTGTGACAAATCATGTCTGAAGTCGGAAAGCTTCAGAAGCAGTTTGCAGAGGTAGCACTGGGCATGTTCGGAATGTTCACTGGGTGTGTGTGTGTGTTTCGCCTCGTGGGTGAATCTCAGAAGCTCTTCGGATCCCAGCAATAGGCACTGTGCAGATACGCCAAGCATATACATAGTCGGGGGCCAGCTGCTGCTCTGCCTCACTCCCTCACCTTTTTCTTGCATGTTCTGGTTCACGTCAAGAGCCGTGCATGTAAGGGCTCAGTCCACATCAGTTCCCTGGTGTGTGTGGGCAGTTGAACCTGTGCCAGGGCTGCAGGTTTGGCCAGCTGTGAGGCCCCGCTTTTTCCCTGGCTTGCTAGCTTTTCCGTATGTTAAGCAAATCTATCAATCTCTGTTGCTTTTCCAGTTGACCCCAAATAGACGAGCAAAGGTAAGTATGCCTGACATGACTGGGGACCATACAGCATCAGCTGCTTGTAACAGACTAACTTGTGTAGCCTCACCCCTTCTAGTTAAGGAATAGAGCTATTCCTATTAATTATCATGCCAGTTTCTCATTAAACACTGATTGCACAGTTAGCTGCTTGGAAGTCTGCCCCTTAGAACAAGCATTGCATGTTAACAGCTATTCTGCCCTCCCCACAAAAAAATAAAAATAAAAATTATCTTCTTGCAGAACTGGCTACAGTAACAAAGTTCTTCCATCCCATTCCAACCCTAAATTGTTTTACTGGCTCACTATGTTCAGGGTGGTGCTTGGCATGGGTTGGTTAGCCAAGTAAGCATCCAGTTGCCTGGAAAGTAGCTTGCCAAAGCACAACAGTTTTAATCACATCTGTGTCAAAACCAGGGGAAGATAAGCTTGTGGCTTCTGAACGCATTAAGCATTCATGGGAATTATCAGTGGGGTATCGTCTGTCGGAAGGGCAGACTCATTTTCCAGTCGCTGATCCTTATGTAAGTACAATGGCATCACCCATGCTCAGGAGGGAGATACCAGCAGACTTGAGGACATTTCAAGCTTTGCAGGGTACAAAAAGATTTTGGAGTTAAAAAAAAAATCTAGCAAGGACTCTACATGCTCAATGGGCAGAACACTGAGTGTTGTGGGACGATTGAAACTGCACTGGGGAGGCCCGATGCAGTAACCTTTCCAAACAATATCCCATTGAACTGTGAACTTCGCCTCACCTGCTCTTCCAGGCTCCTGCGGATCAGATTTTAACATGAATCACCATCTTGATGTCAGATGGCATCAAGTCTGAAGTGTAGGCTGTTAAGAATATGTTGGGACTCTCCTCGTTTGCTTCTGAGGAATAATTATGTCCTCTTGTGAGCCCTCCTACTAGCAAGAGTCTTCCTATAGGATGATTATTTTGTAACGCCGCATTAGGTATCTAAGATACTGGATTCTGTATCTTCGTCCTGAGACTTGAGATCATTACATGCACCCTTTATGGAATCCAGACACAGCAAAAGCTATAAATCTACCCACAAGGTGTCAGCATTGAGCTTCTCTTCCAGGGTGTGAGTCTTGCTCTTTGTCATTTCTGGCAGGATCATCTGTCTTACTTCCACTTTGTTGGTCGGATCATGGGTCTGGCTGTGTTCCATGGACACTACATCAATGGGGGTTTCACTGTTCCTTTCTACAAACAGCTGCTGGGCAAACCCATCCAGTTGTCTGATCTGGAATCCGTTGACCCAGAGTTGCACAAGAGTTTAGTCTGGATTTTGTAAGTATTGAACTGAAAAACGGAAACTTGTGATTTTGACTGAAGCGCAAAGGGCTTCAAACTCCACCTGGCAGGCTGCTGCGACACCTGCCCAGAATCCTTTTGACTAACGCAGGGAAGACTGAGGAAATTATCTAGACCTGTTTTGCGAAACCTCGCGCTGTTTTTGGTGGGAGAATCCTGGATGCCAGCTGGGGCATGGGGGATGTAATAATCAAAGTTGAATCGAAGCCATGTTTTAATTGTTGTTAAGTTTGATTTTATTCTGAACCTGCATTGGTCAGATCTCCTGATCAAAACAAGGGTAATCTTTAGTATGCAACCTAAAGAACCGGAAGCATCAGGCATCTCTGAAATTGAGCAGGCAATAGACAAGCTTTTTTTTAATTATATATTTATATCTTGCCTTTTTTTCCTTCAAGGAACTCACAGCGGCCTCCATAATTCTCCCCCTTCTCTTAACCTTATCCTCACAGTAACAACCCTGTGAGGTAGGTTGGGCTGGGAGTCTGTGACTGGTCCAGTCACCTAGTTGACTCCAAGGCTGAGCAGGGACTAGAACCCTGATTGCCTGAGTCCAGTTTCGCACTCTTAATCATCACACCATACTGGCTCTCATTTGGGACATGGAGGCAAAGTTGGGTTCTAAATCACTTTTAGATTGTTATTTATTTACTATAATTATATGGACTGACCAATGACCTGATCTCTAGTTTGCTCATGGAAATTAAAGAACAATATATAGAACTGACATGTCATCTCAAGAAGAATAGCATAACATTTTCCTGAGTACCTAACAGGAAAAGTAAAAGAAAAGCGCAGCCTTTTCTCAGTAAAAACAAAGAGCAAACATTGAGAGAGCAGCTCTTAAAAGTATATATTATTTAAAATATCTGGGTGAATAAAAAAGGACTTACCTGAGACAGGCAACTGTTAAATTGCTTTTCACATGAACGTTGTTGGGATATGTAGCTAAGGGCAGTGCTGCATGTAACTGACAGATGCAGAAATGACTTGAACTCTTCGGCTTGCTGCCAACAGAGAAAATGACATCACTCCAGTTCTGGACCACACTTTCTGTGTGGAGCACAACGCGTTCGGCAGGATTCTACAGCATGAGCTCAAACCAAATGGGAGAAATGTTTCTGTCACAGAAGAGAACAAGAAAGAATATGTCAGGTACTGCCAGGGAAGAGGATTCCCCCCGCCCCCCCGGTTTCCAATAATGAAGTGCAGGTGCTCCCCTCCCAGCTCCTTTCCTGGTGTGTTAACATCATCGCCGTTCTCTGTGGCAACTGTGGAGATTAATGCTAGCCCACGGCTTCCTGACATGCCTGCAGGCATGCTTCCGGCCACTGCAGAGGACTGGATTTGGTCACAAGTCCCGTAGTGGTTGATGCTGGGGCTGCCAGGTGAGCAGTGCTGCACCATTTCTGCTGAAGGCACAGAAACCGGAGAGGGTCTCAGTGGGTCCTGTGCTTTTGGGCAGGGAGGATTCTCACTTTTGTAGCACTCGCTCCTCCTCGTGACGTTGCCTTCTGCTTACCGTGTGTCTTATTCCAGACAGTCATGCGTGTCCCCTTCTTCCCATCAGTTTTTCCACAGAGAATTTAGAATATTTTCCCAGGGGCAGATTGGAAGGGAACGTTACCTACTTCGTCCTCACTAGGTCTGGTGGGAACTGGCAGCATGATCTGGGCCTCCAGTGCATTGCATGTTATGCTTTTTAAAAAGGAGTTAAACCAGTGCATGGATCCAGTTAAGCTGGCTGTGGGACGGAAAGGCATGTAGGAACCATGGTGCAAAGACTCTAGTCCACCTAGAGTTTTGCCTCTTTTGGAACTGGTCAAAAAATCTGCAGCAGCCTCAGTACGCCAGTCCGCAAGGTTTTATTCCACTTGCACAATTCTTAACTCCCAAAGTGCCGTTTTCGATTTTGGGTTCTTCCTCCCTACTCTTAGGCTGTATGTCAACTGGAGGTTCATGAGAGGCATTGAGGCCCAGTTCCTGGCTCTTCAAAAAGGTTTTAATGAACTTATTCCTCAACATCTACTGAAGCCTTTTGACCAGAAGGAGCTTGAGGTATCAGTTACATCATTCAGATTAATGCTGTTTGTGGTTCATGTGGGCTTGCAATGTGAAAATCCATTTTGTTTTGTTTTTTAAACCCTCAAATTAAAAAAAAAAGTTTCCCCCTGTTTCATACAGGGTGTTGCAAATCTGGTTTCTGCCTGGAAGAATTAATTTTGTTAGAGATGCTTTTTGCACATCCCTAATGCTAAAGAATATCATTTTAAGTCGAGGCCAGGACTCAATATGTAAATAAACAAGAAACTCAAGCCTACAGCATGTTTAGCAATAAAGCTGGTCTTGTAATGAAGAAGTCTAACCTAGGCTTTATCAAAAACATTGTCTAATGCATGTTTTTCTACATACTTTTGGATGGATGCTCTTCAGGGGGGAGGGGGGTGGAAAGTGAAAAATTGTAAAAATAGTGGGCCCTAGGCCAGGTTGACAAAGCGGTCCCAATCTCCATTACCAGAAAAATAAAAGATGAGTGCAGAAGCAAGAACAGATGTTCTCGCCTCTTCCTCAGAGCTTACTGTTGATCAACCTGAATGGAGTTTGCAGAGCCCCTTTTCTAGAGTTCCGCTCCAGGTAGAGGCTGCTGGATATGGTTTGCAGCACAACAATGGCTGCCATAGAGCTTGTGAGGCAGGGAACTGCGAAGGCTGCCGGGCGGCAGGAGCGGAGGAGCCACTGCAGGCTTCTTGTAGGGCGACGCATCCAAAGACGGCTCAGCCGTCACGGTCCTCGCCTCCGGTGACTCTGGACGTGCAGCCCTCTGTGCCGGGGCTTGCCACTGAGCGTGTCTGTTTCTGGTGCCTCAGCTCATAATAGGTGGCCTGGATAAGATTGACCTGACTGACTGGAAGTCCAACACGCGCCTCAAGCACTGCATGGCTGACAGCAATATCGTCAAGTGGTTCTGGCAAGCGGTCGAGGCCTTCGATGAGGAGAGAAGAGCGAGGCTGCTGCAGTTTGTGACCGGCTCCACTCGGGTGCCGCTCCAGGGCTTCAAGGCTCTGCAAGGTGACTGCTAGGGGGTCTGGGTCAGCCCGTGTCGTCAGGGGGGCGATAGCGGTGCCCTTTTGTGGCCCGAGTAACCTGCCACTGTGGTTGTGTGTCCCCAGGATTATGGGTCTGTTAGTATCCTGTGCCAATCTCCGCGGGAGAAATCTCCGGTTCCATGTGCAATAAATGAATTTGTCTTAGACTGAGATACAGGCTGGACATCAGGAAGAGCTTTCTCACTGTCCCAGCAATATGAGAGTGGAACCAGCTGCCCAGAGAGAGAGAGAGAGAGAGAGAGAGAGAGAGAGAGAGAGAGAGAGACATTCAGAAAGGAACCGGACAGCCCTCTGAGTGGGAGGGTGCAACGTGGTGTCCTGCAACAGCAGCGGGGTGGACCCAGTGGCCTTCTTGGCGCCTTCCAGCTCTGCTGTTCTGTGATTCTATGAGTCTGGCCATAGGTCCCCCCTAGCCCAGTCCCACCTGTCCTCACTTTCAGCCACACTTCAGGGTTCTGGGCAGCCTGGGGTCGTCCTCGAGGTCCTTTTAATTGGAGGTGCCGGGGATGAAACTTGCAACCTCCTGCTTGCGAAGCAGGTGCTCTGCGGCTCCTTCCTCAGTGAAATGTGCGAACTCGCGTGCTGTTTGACCTCTAGGCTCGTGTGTGTGGGCACAGGAGCACTGGCTGGGTACGTCCGTGTTTTGGGGGCCAGGGTCCATGTGTGTCAGAGAAGTGGCTGGTGGGGCAGTGTGGTGTTTTTGAAGGGCCTTAACTAGAATGTCTACTTGCAAGGTTCTACAGGCGCGGCAGGGCCCAGGCTCTTCACGATCCATTTGATAGATGCGAACACAGACAACCTTCCAAAAGCGCATACCTGGTAAGCCCCTTTTTCTGCCTGCTAACAGGTGGTGGAGTGTGCCCATTCACACAGCTGCCTGGATCAAATGGCAACCCCCCCCCCCACTCCAAGATGGGTGTTACAATGATCGGGTACACAACACTTGGTGTATGACTAGATCAGGTACACAATTTTTTCCCCCCAATTTATATCCTGCCTTTTTCCTACAAAGGGCTCAAGGCAGCTTCCATCATTCTCCTCCTCCATCTTATCCCCACAACAACAGCCCTGTGAGGTAGGTTGGGCTGAGAGTCTGTGACTGGCCCAAAGTCACCCAGTTGGCTCCATGGCCGAGCGGGGACTCGAACCCGGATCGCCTGAGTCCCCGTCCCACGCTCTTAACCACTACGCCACACTGGCTCTCAATTTATGCTCTTGCTGGCTGTGGCTCATGGAGGCCACATGCCAAAATATTTGCAGGGGACACAATTTGCCAGCCCCTTGTCTAGCTGTTTGCTGGAACCGATAGGAATAGCGGTCCAAGACGTCTGGGGGGCACAGATGTGGGGAAAGTTGATCTAGATCACACGCGAGAAGGTTCCATCATTTATCAGGTGATCACGCAGCAGAGGTTAAAGTCGCTTCATACAGAATGCAATCCTGTTGCCATACTGCGGGCAGCCGAGTGCCGTTCAGGTATTTGTGCCTGATGGAGGCAGCTGCCTCTGGCTTCCAGGCGTTAAAAACCAACTTGCCTTTGACTGCTTCAGACACCAACCTGGCTGGAGCATTAGTTTTCTTTGCCCTCCACATGGAGGTTCAAGTTTGCTGTATCTGAGCAATATTTGCCACAAAAACACAGCCAAGGTGTCGCAAACCTCAGCTAAAAGTCACTGAGGAGAATATTCTCTAGTTGTGGCACTCAGTACTGAACAGGCATTTTGTCAGATCACGTCGGCCAGCTTCTAGGGTTTTAGCACCCTCATTCTGACCCCGATCAATGCCTTGGGAAGCTTTTGGGCAAGCCAGTCATGTCTCTGTCACTGTCAGGTGTAGTGCCGTATAAATTTGCATTCACATTAAATCTTCGCTATCAGAGACAACAGCACACTAACACTCGTATCTTTACCACCTGCAGCTTTAACCGAATTGACATTCCGCCTTATGAGTCCTACGAGAAACTTTACGAAAAGCTACTGACAGCTGTGGAAGAAACTTGTGGGTTTGCAGTGGAGTGAATGGGCAACCAAAGGAAACAGTTACTAGCTCATGGACCACCAAATCAAAAGCTGTAAGAAGAAGCTTGCTGTGAACTTCTTTTGTCCGAAGCATTGGGACAGTCAAGAACCAGGGGGATCTGAGGCTGTTTCCCCTCTTGTGGTGGTGTTTGGGTGGGGGGGTGGCTTTTGTTGGTGGTTCCCCACTATACTTTTCTCCCTTTTGTTACGATAATCCCCCCCTTTTTTTAATTTCCAACGAAGCAAAAGCCAGCCAGGTTCAGCATTTGGCTCTGGTGACCCGAGATATTCTGCTAGACGCGTAACACATATTGTGATAAGGTCAATGACCTGTGGTCTTTTTTTATAGGAGTATCAAACTGTAGTTGAGTACCTTGAGATTGGTTTGCTGAGGACTTTCAACTGATAGGTGTATCTGGATGTTTCGTCTTAATGCAGTCCTGAGCCTTTGTAGAGTCCAGAAGCTATGGAAATTCAAATTGCACATTTCAGAATCCCCATTAAAGAACAGTTAGCAGAAAACAGCTGCACAGGGACACACAACTGAGGGCTGTTTCTTGACAGAAAGCTACTTAAGTGAGTGTGATGGCTTGATTTTTAGGCAAGGAAAGAGAGAGCAAGAGAGGACTCTAAGCCATCTTGAACTGGGAGGTAAGTTTTCATTTTGGATGCTTTGTACATGAGAAAGATATGTTTTCCCCTGTGGACTCGCTTCTCTGTGTGATTATTGGCATATGTGAGAGAATGTGGCAAGGGGGCTCAGCCCAGTCTGAATTTTTTTTCCTGATACTGTTTTCTCAGATGCTTTCATTGACTTGAAGTTGCAGAAATCCTTTTAAGAGGAATCAGCTAAAAGCAAAGCTAATGGAACCAAGTTCCATCCTTGAGCCATCCAAACTGGGGACCGTTGAGAAAGGAGTCTGTAGTGAAAAGGTCTAACACAATGGTTTTAGCTCACAGATTTGAGTAATCCAGAGTACTGCTTTCAGGCCCTTTGCTCTCCTACCCCCCCTCCTCTTCCTCCACTGCAGCTAATGTTCAAGTTTGGGATTAAGTCATTGGTTCAACGCGGCTTTCTTGATGGAGGAGAACTGATGCTGCAGGGTAACTGTCATGCAAATGCAGGCAACAAGACTGTACTTTTTAACAACCTAACACTTCTTGGCTGAAAGGCCCAATAACTGTCAAATGTAATCTAGGTTGTAAGACTTCCCCCCTAATTTCAAAACTGTTCATTAACTGATGATGGGGGGTTTTTTTGGTGGGGGTGGGGTCATAATCAATTGGGCTTAAACTGTGAGTCAATGGTTCTTTGGTCCACGAGGATATTTCTGCTGTTAGATTAGAGGAATTGGCATTGCTAATAGCTTTCAACAGTGATAGGACGAACTAAGGTTGGATAGTTGTCATCTTTCGAATCTTTCTTTCCTATCCGTTCAGTTGACAGTAACTTTGGTGCTTTGGTGATGAAATTGTGAAGATTCCACCTGAGAGAGGAAATAAGTATTATTTGCACCATGAGGGCTAAAGAGCTGGATTGCATAGGTGAGCTAAGACCTAATGTGGAATGTCCTTGGGAAGCGAGTTGCACTTAAAAGACCCGTTAACTGCAGCATGAGTTATTTGGGTTTGTAGCAAGCAAGTTTGAGGAGTTTGGAATTCAAAGCTTTAGTTAAGCATCTTAAACCTTCTTGACCATTAAACATATTAACGACCCTGGCTTTCCAAGTACCTTTGGAGATCAACTGTTGTCCATTGGAATCCTGTCAGTGGAATTTGTATGCACAGGACGTCTGTAGCGGTACAAATTCCACCCCTAAAACCATGTCCCCCAACTCCTCATGCAGATCTGAGATGCGGGAGGCAAGATGTTGTACAGCACAGTGGCCAAACAATCGGCCGCGTACGTTTTGCAAAAGTAACACTGAGCAATTGTGTGCCTGGAAGCCACCGCTTGCATTCCTCTTGCTATGTGGTTGCAGCATCCAAGTGGTTGGCGTCCCTCCTGCCCAGCAGTGTCCCTAGCAGAGGACAGGCGAGCGAGCAGGTGGCATGCTTTAGACCATGCAGACAGGGCAGCCACACACCAAAGACAGCAGGAGAACGGGCCTGGGTTGATGTTCAGGCCGGAGAGTGTAGTTGGCTCCTCCAGGAGAGTAGTGTGCAAAATTTTCTTTACATTTCCTATCGTCGTGTCCTAAAGGTTTTGTACCACTGTTCTAACAACCAAATATCTAAACAGAGTGTTTGCTGCAAGTCTGTGTGCTGACTTTGAGGCAGGAGCTGGAGGAAAGAGGCAAGCCCAGGAAATGGCTGGCCGTTCCTTTTTCCAGGGTGTCGGCAAGAGCGACACTGGACACGTGCTTCTGCTCAAGCTTGAAAATTCCACCTGTCCTTCTCCAACCAAAAAAACCCCGAACCTATAATAGAGGCATGAGAAGGTAGATTTGTTTTGTGGTTGCAGTCTGCGACGCTTGAGCACTGTCTTTGCTGTGAGCTTTTTGGCAGTTAACACCACCCAGCAACCGACGCAGGGCAAGCCCGATGCTTGCGTGTTCTCTGCTGTAGCCTCTTGATTAATACTGGGTTACTGGTAGGCAAGATTAAGTCTGCTCAAAGGCAGAATGGTATAGTGAAGTGAACAGGAAACAGCCTGCTCTTCTAGCCCATAGAACAGTGTCTGGGTCTTCCCCAGCCCAGGAGATGCAAAATGTTTCTTTGATCAAGATGGCACTACAGAGGAACAGGAGGGGCGAGGCACCTGTGCCTCCCATGCCCACAGTCAGGTTATCCCATCCAAAGTCTCCCCAAATGGTCTTTGGTGCCCAGTCCAGTGCTACAGATTTTTATGTTCTTTGTTCTGATTTTCTTTGTTTACTTGCCCTGAAAGGCATCATCCTGCATTTATGCACTCAGGGATGTAGGAAACCACCACTCCTTGAGCACTTCTAAGTCAGATCTGAATATATTGGACCAACTTCTTGTTTTAAAAGAGCTGTCTTGCTCAGCATTGGGTCTGGCTTATAAAGCCTCAATTGTCATTCAAAGTTCCTTCTCGCACCCCATGCTCCTTTAGCCAGGACCCAGCATTCTACACCGTAGAGCACAGAAAGTTTTCCACAAATGCAGTACGTGTTTGTTTTACTCTGTTAATTTTTTTTGTTCCTCAACCACTTTATAATGTATTTTTAACTTATTATTTTGTAATGTCTTGTTTTTAAGTATTGCTGCTACCCTTGTTATTCTTCTCACCCTTTTTATTGCGGATTTTATTTTGTGAAAAAGTTGTACACTAATGTTTTTCATTTTATGTCTAAATCAAAGTATTTAAAGAAATACTAGTTCTATTTAACGTGGTTATGGAGCCAGCTGGAATAAACAGTGATTGTATAGTAGGCTGGGCCCAAGAGGTCATGTTCATTTTTGTTACATATGCAATAAACTCTCACAACTTTAAATTTTGTGTGCTTAATCTTTTTAAAAATTAGTCCATCTGTCATCTGTTCTGACTGAAAAAGGCTCTCCCAAGTTTGGGTAGGGGCTCCAAAGTAGTGGAGCCACATATACTTGTAGACCCCTCTGTTGGCATTTGGCAGGCTCCCTGCCCCTCCTCATTTTTAGTTTCTTAAGATTTATTCTTATGGGGGGGGGGGCTGGCATGAGGCAAAGGACAGCACGACCCTTCTGTGCCATCATTATTAGGGTTTTGTGTTTAGAGCTCAGTCCCCACCCGTTTCATGCAGCCATTTTATGAGGGCACCCAAGAAACACTGAAAATGCCAAATGTACCTACCAACCCAAGAGAACTAGAGATTCCTTCTTTAGCATCTTGGGTAGAGGGCTTGCCCTCAGCTGCCACACCATCTTTTGAGTCGAACACGCCAGGAACGGAATCTCGTGTCGTCTTCATGCACAGCAGGTGCCGTACTCATGCACTCGTGTCCGTTTTTACTTCATCTCTTGCCAACAAGCAAGAAATGCCTTCAGATATTGAGATGGGGATTCCATGCTACATTGGGAGAATTTTCTTCCTTTTCTTGCTGGTCTTCTGTGTGCCATACATGTAAGAAGTCCGCCTGGCTGCAGGAGCTACCAGAAATTCTTGTGGATTTAATAACTTGTTAAAAGTCTCGAAGCAGATTTTCCACCGTCAGTTTTGTCTTATCTGTTACAGTTCACAGGTCAGAGACAAGAGCTGGATCCCATCTCTCAAAGCTAAAGAAAAATGGTACCGAGGACGTGTTTTCTGATTGGCGCGTTTTCAGCTATGAGCATTGTCTTTCTCTTTAGAGAAAAGTTCTCTTCTATAGCACTGGGAGAGAGAACAGAACCTGAAGGGGAACCCCTCTTGTTTGGAGGGCGCCTCTTCCTGGCACAGATAATTATGGGTTGCCCCATGCACTTTAACCTCTCGAGCTCCCACATGTGGAGAATAAGCCTGACCCGAAGTTTCTTCCTAAACATTGCATTATGGCTGAGATTTGAACCTTGGTCTCTCTGCCTTGGTCTCTCTGTCTGTTGGCTCTTACTTGGATCTGGCTGTATGATTGCAGCTGACTCCCCTGTAAGCACCTTTCCGTTCAGTTTGGAGACTTGATGAGATGGGTTTTTAAGCGATTCAACATTTGTTTGTCAGGTATACTCAATGCTACATTCTGGACTATCACAAAATATGCAGACGGGGTGAGGCACAAAATGAGAAGACGTCACAAGTAGCAGGAACTGGATTCAGTGTGATAGCAGACAAACGTTGGCCATATCATGCTCAGCAAGCCAGCATGCCAGTTCCTCTGTATGCTCTTTTTTTCTTTCTGTCTTAAGTGCAGAGCCGGGGCCAGAGGGAAGAGGAAGGAAAGAGATCTCTGTGCAGACACTCACCTGGAAAACAGTCTGGGGTCCACAAGGAGCTGGATACAGTAGGTTTTCAATTACAGCTCACTAATTGTTTCTGACAGCTGGCTAATGCTACGTGGGAGTTGCCGTCCCTGACAGCTCAGTAATCGGGTACTGCAAGGCCGAGCTGTGAATTGAAGCTCTCTCAGCTAGGAATGAAGCCAAGTGCACTTCCTTTCTCCAGCTGGTTTTCCTCGGAAATACTGCTCCTAGCTTGTGCAGACGACATGAAATCCTGTAACTCGGCCTACCTCAACCTGGGACCCTCTGCAAATCCATTTGAACATCTCCCATCATTCCCAGCCAGCATATGAATTCCTAAAATGAAAGAATAAAATTATAGGCAAACGGTGCTTCGCATGTACATGTGGAAGAATCAGGTCCTGCAAACCAGTGGCGCAACTTGGTCTTAATGGGCCCTCTTGTTGACAATCACATGGAAGTACAACGGCATTCCTCTTTGCCCCTTCCTGTCATCACTGCACACTTTGTGATTGCGGCTGCATTTCTGATACTTTCGAACAATAACAACAAATATTGTTTGTCAAACTCGATTAAAAAGAAACATTCTGTGTAGATGCAGGTTTTCACTTTCAGTTTGAGTCATACAGAGAAGAATGAGCATGGAATTGGTCTTCTGATACGATCAACTGCCGCTCTCTGGGTGGTGATTTGGGGCCTCCTTAGCTACAGGGCCTGCAAACGCGCTGTTTTGCTTAAATGGTCCCATGTAAGTTGCACCCTTCTTGATTGTGAAGTGGGATAAAAGAAGCATGACAAAGGCAGGTATTTACAAAGACAGCTTCCAAGTTTATGCTTGGAAATAAGCAGACAATCCGTGCTTCCACCCTGGTAAGGCTCTGGTGATCTCCAAAGGGAAACATGTTATGTGGTGGCCACCAGGCGGATAAAAGAGGGTATTATGCAAGGAAGAGTCTAAATTCCGTGGACCCACATGTCCTTCCAAAACCTGCCCTGCAGGCAGAGGAGACACAAAGCACCTTGCTGAACCTGTGTGTTCTCTCTCCCTCTTTCTCCTGGGTTTTGAGAAACAAAAGGGCTCAGCTTTCACAGCAGCTGCTCCGCTTCCTTCCTCCTTCCCTGGGGTAGAACAAGTCGTGCGTGCGGTTGTGACTTGCTTGAAGCTGCAGCCACTGGCGAAACGCGTGCCTGGGGCTCCTGCTCAGCACCGGCTACCTGCTGCCAGATGGACTGGAACAAAACTCTCCTGTGGGCCTGTTGCCCCGAACACCATTCTGCCTCTCGCACATGCGCGTGTGTGGCCTGCTAGGGTGGCATCCTGTGAACGTGCGAGCTACAGAAATTGGATTACTTGCAAGTTGGCACGCCTGTTCCTCTCCAAGAGCAATGGCTTTCAGGTCTCCCAGCCTAACGTTTCCCCACGTTGACTTGTCTTTGCAAGAGCTCTTCCATGTTGGTCCTACAACCACTTGTGGCGGTTTTGGAAAGGGTTCCATGGTTTTTCACTCTGTAGCCAGAGCTGGCTCTGGGTTTGAAGGGGGCCCTGGCCCGCTGGTGAGTCCCCTGTGGAACTGGTAGGCTTGCCTCGTGATGCTAGCAGTGAGTGGCCATTTAAATTTCCCACAATGCTGTGGAGCAAATCCATCTGACAGGTTTCCACTGCCACAGTTGCATAGGCCTGAAGCTCGGGGGTCTTGGGTGGGTGTTGATAGACCTCGCTAGGGTCTCAGCCAGTGGAGAAGGAATGCATTTGGAAGTGCAGACCCCACCGTGTGTGTGTGTGTGTGTGTGTGTGTGTGTGTGTGTCACATTTGCATAAGCATTTCTCACAACTAGTATGGCTATAATCTTTGGTGTGCCTAGGAGTAAGTTCTGTTGAATCCAGTGGTACTTACATCTTCTGACTGCCTAGGTTCAATTGAAAAGCCCAGTGAATGTAACGACAGATTATTAATTGGCTGAAATATAAACTACCAGTATGAATAGGAACCAAAGCGCCTCAAGGAACACTCAGTGGACCAATGTGGGAGACAAGTGGGGTTCTCCTTGCCATAGAAAACCCTTTGAAAAGGAAACCATTTCCAAATAAAGAGCGTGGATTTGGGTTTCTAGGTCTTACTTTTTATCATTGGGCCTATTCGTGGGACCTGTACTAACCTTTGTTAGAATCCAGGTTTGGCCTTGTTTTTGTAATGTCAGAGTTGTGTTTGCTGTTGGTAGCACATACCAATAACCATATGTATGTACATATTAAGTAGGAATGGAATCGCAGAACGCACCCCACCACCGGAATGGCATTCTGGCACCTTTTTTTCAATGGATTTTATTTTGATCAGATCAGCAGCAAACATCATTAACATAGTGCCTGCAGGCTGCTATTGTGTCTGCTCTCTGATAGTGAGAGATGGCTGCTTGGGCCGCTGGCTGCTCAGCTTGGGATTGGTGTGTGTGCTTACTGCTGGCAGGGATGTGAGTTCCGGCACCTTTTTTTTTTTTTTTTTTACAAAAAAAGCACTAGGAATAAGTAAACGGACTGTCCCAGACGGCTGATTGATTATGTATTTATTTCATTTCTATACCATCCCCTAACCAAAGCTCTCTGAGCAGTTCAAAACAATCCATAAAAACAAGATAATAAAATACAATAAAGATACCATAAATCAGTGCAGCTTAAAAAATTAGAACATCTAAATCATACAATAAAGAATGACCCTGTAAAAGGAAAATTCCAGGGAAGGTATTTTTCCTAGCCCCTCAAACCTCTGCTTTATCGCTGGATGGCCACTTTAGTACCTTATACCTGAAGCTCTCGGTGAGAGCCAGCAAAACGTCTTGTTCCATGCCTATTGGATGCCACGATGCCTTTGCAGTAAGGCGTAACACAGCCAGTGCTTCTTTTAATCCTCTGTTTTGTACTGGATAACATTTTTGATTGGAATACCTTTGATTATTTACTGATGCTTCTGTCCTCTTGTATTTACCTGTTTCCTGGAATTTGACACTTGGTCCTTGCAGATGCATTTTCCATGCCCTTTGACAGCTTAAGAGACTAAGACCTAAGAACATTTTCAGCATTCAGCGATATGTAGACACCACTTGTGACTGCTTCTGCATTTGTCTGCCTTTGCTCAAGGCTATGAATAATTCTTAGAAATTAGTTTTTTTCATATGCATACATGTACATACTCTTCATGTACAGATACTGAAAGTGGAAATGAGAATCTAGGTAGCTCCATTCTTTTTCTTTATGGTTTAGCTTTGTTCTGTTCTAATTTTGTCTCTCTTAAAAAATCAGATAAAATGAACGAAAAATGAGCCTTCTGTTTGATCTGTTTTCCAGCTTCTCTAATTCCTCTACATCAGGGGTGGGCAACCTATGGCTTTTCAGCTGGTTTGGCTTGCCAAGCATCTCTCTCGCTCGCTGCTATTGCTGTTGATGGAGCTCTAGTCCAACATATCTAGAGTGCACCAAATAAAGAAGGACTGGTGTATAAGTACTCCTTGGTTGCTTACCTTGATCTCCTTCCCACTTGAAGCAAAGGTCAATGAAAAGGATAGAAAACAGCAACCGGCATAACGTGAAAACATTTTAAAAACCAGAGATGCTAAGTGGAGGGTTAGTTTGCTTCCGTTGCTGCTGTTTCTCAAGGCCAAACAGATCACATGTAAACTTGGCTGGCACCTGTCTCTCTGAAAACCCCACAATTAGATGTTCACTGCTCAGGAAGGGGAAGTGTTTATACACACTTCTTGCAGCTCTTCCTTCCACCTTGGGGCTTGCCAGGACCAGCCTTGTCTTGCTTCTTTGCTCACCTGGTTTCTGCTCACGAGTTCACAAGGAGTCGATACTGTCGCAGTTGATGCCCTCGATTTGGGCAACAGCCACACTCTCGGTGCATGCTTGGCTCGCAGACCACATGGACTTCCTTGAGGAGCTCCTCCTGCACTTGATCTCGGAGAGGAGGATGCCATGCCTGGAGCAGCTTTGTAAGTATTCCCTGTAATTCTTGGAAAGCAATGTATAAAGGAAAGGGTTGACACAACTGTTGCTGTATGCCAGGCAGGTCACAAGGAAATTGATGAAGACTGCGGTGTTGCTGTCGAGGTTCCCCGGCTGCTGTTGGTAGACGCCAAGTAGCTGCCACAGCCAGAACGGGATAAAACAGGTCCAGTAGGCTAGGATGATGCTAAAGATCATGTACAGGACTTTCTGCCTGGGGCATCTCTTCACATTACGGGTGCCCAAGATGGCCACCTGAGATCTCCAGTAGGTTCTGGCCAGCTTGATGTACAAGTAGCAGATGACCAGGCCAGGGGCCAAGATGCTAGTATTAAAGAGTACGGTGAGATAGACTTTGTATGCCTCCATCTGCCACGTGGGGTGGCACATGCGCTTGGTCACTCCACCGTGGCTGCTGGTCTGTAAGTCGATGAGGATCATGGTTGGCAAGGTGAGGAGGAAGGAGACGAGCCACACCAAGCAGGTGACGACTCTCCTGTCACCCCGTGGCCTCTGGACAGTGTCCAAGGGCCTGGCGATGGCTAGGTACCGCTCTTTGCTCATAATGGTGAGGATGAAGATGCTGGTGTGCATGCTAAGCAAGTCCAGGCTGAAGAGGACCCTGCATCCCACTTCTCCAAAATACCAGTCCCTCATGAAGTAAGTCCAGACTACGAAAGGGATGGTGGAGAGATACAGGAGGTCAGCCAAGGCCAAGTTGGCTATATAAATGTACATCGAGCCGGTCAGTCCCGGGGAGAGGTGGATGACCACCAGCGTGTAGATGTTCCCAACCGTGCCAACAAGACACATGGTGCCCAGGATGCCTCCCAGCAAGGAAGTCACCAAGACGTCACTGGTGCTGCTGAGCACCTCAGGAGTGACATGTGTGTGACTGCTGCCATTCTTCAGATGGCAAGGTGAGCTGGCACATTTCTCCGGTTCCATGATGTCTGTCGCACACGCCAGGGCACCGTGCCTGGTCCCAAGGAAGGGCCAGAATGTCAGGCTTTCACCTGAGATGCTGCAAGGATCGCCTTTGCCAGCCAAGAAGCGCGTCTCCGTTTTTACCTCCTCCTCTCCAGCCTTTAAACCAGCTCTGAGCGAATCCAGCAGGGCACGTTGTTGAGTTAAGCAGAAAACAAATCCACCGATGGAGTTGAGGGACTACCGCAGGCAAGCAGGAGGAAGAGGCTGCCTGTGGATTCCACAGCTCTTGCGTCCAAGTCCAACTTGGATTCCAGCGGGCAGGGAAATGGAGAAAATGGTTTCTAGGTTCGAAATACCTTCCTTGTGAGTGCCCGTCCTTGACGCAAACCGCTGATCGGTGGACTGCTCAGCTCCTTTCTGCATCAGCCTAGCATACCGTATACATCCAGATTTATCTGTTCGTGCCACTAGCAGTGGTTAAGCTCTCCTCCCAGAAGTTCCTTTCCCATACACAATTGGCTGCCCGTCTGCTGAATGAGCAATGCTGATTTTTGTCGGAGGAGTAATTGCACTCTCAGTGGGCCAATCCATGAGTAATCCACTTGCTTTTGCAGTGGGGAAACACAAAGGCTGAAGAACAATTAAAGGCATGGTTGCGTGGGTCTGTCTGTGCAGGGGGCAAGAGCAGGACTTGGGAATGAATTGATCGATTCCACAGATTCATTCGCCCTCTCTCCTGATAAATCCATTCACCTGGCCACAAGGAGGAGGAGGAGGAGGGTCCTAGGAAGCTGAGAGCCAAGCCCAAGTTCCTTGCTGCGTGGCTCAGAGCGGAGAAGGCATTGGCGACTATAGGGCATGTTTTTTGGTGCCTCCACGTGGGAGTTTCGGTTTGCTGGCCTTTGTCACCCTTTCTGGGTGGTCTTGCTTTAGGTGCTCAAGGGGGCTAATGCTTTTGTCTCTTCGAGTGGCAATGTTATAATTTCGTGTCCTGCGTACTCTTTCACACGGCCAATCAGCTTTGTAGTCGAAGGAGGAAGGGCTGAATGGGGAGCTTGTTCAGGGTGAATCAATGCATGGATTGCTTCTTTCTTTTAATGCTTTCATGACCATCCAAAATATGTACAGTGTTACAGATAGAAAGATAGATAGAGTTATATACCGCTTCTTTAAATAGTCAGTGTGGTGTAGTGATTAGCATGTTAGATGGGGAGGTCCTACTGTCTCCTCAGCCATGAAACTCACTGGGTTTCTTGAAGCAGTCTCCAACTCTCAGCCTAACCTACCTCATAGGGTTGTTGTGAAGATAAAATGGAGGAAAGGAGGACTATGCAGGCCTGGAAAAGGAATGCATAGCATGTAGGTGCTGGAATGAGATTCTGGAGATCTGTTCTAGTCCCCACTCAGCCACACAAGGCTCCCGGGGTGATTTGGGTCCTCTCACTGACTCTCTGCCAAACGTTTATTTAATTAAAATTTTACTATACAGTCCTTTACCATGGTCTCGGGGTGGTTTAACTTCCCTCACAGGGTTGTTATGAAGATACGTAGTATAAAAAGAAAGATGAATATGCAAGCCACCATTGGAAAATCAGTATGAGAAGGAGATCAAACACATTGCAAATTTCATTAAAAATATCCTGATAAATGCCAACCTTAGAACCAAATGCAACACTACAGCTGCCAATCAAGCTGGGCCAAATGCTCATTTGGGTACACGTATATCCTGCGATGAAAGAACAGAACACCGGCATTCACACAACCTTTTGTTTGCCTGGGGGCAGCAGGCTGGCACAGGGGACAGGTGCGGATCAGAGAGAGGAATAATGGCCAGGTGGCTTTGATTCCTCCCTTTGCATCACCGACACCAGAAGAGGCAACGGAGTCCTTTAGAGCCCTTTGGGCTATTTCATTTTCTATTTTCTAAAAGCATCGCCTTTTCCAGGCTGGAAACTCTGCTGGACCAACCAAAAACAGGTTTGAGCATTAGACTCTGACTGGAGAGACGCAAGTTCTGGTGTCTATCTGGCCACTGCTGGTTCTCAATTGAAGTCTACCTCACAGGGATGTTTTGCAGATAAAATGGAGAAGAGGAAGATCCTGTGCATTGTCTTGGACTCCTTGGCAGAGAAGGTGGGATATATACATAAGGAAGAAAGAAATCAGTACTATATACCGCTTTTCATGGAACAAATGGAATGGGCTTCCACGGGAGGCGGTTGAGGCCCCCTCGGTGCGGGTGTTCAAGGACAGGCTGGACGTGCACATGGTGCGCATGTTGTGAGCAGAGCCGGCTGGAGCCGGGGGTCAGACTAGATGGCCTGCGAGACCCCTTCTGAATGACTCTATGTTTCTATATCCCAAAGTGGCCCTAAATATATGCAATATATGGTGAGTGGAAAGAACAGGGATAATATTGTTGTGGTATAGAAATGCATCGAATTCAGGAATCAATCATACATTTCTTTGTTTTTAAGACAAAACCCAGACTTCTGAATACTGATTGCATGGATTAATAGAGAGAAGATATGGCTGATCTTGGAGCCCCACCTGGTGGCCACGTGGTGGGGATGACCCCCATGGGGAAATCAAACCAAGAGAAGGGGATGTTCCCCAAAGTTTGCTTGATGGAAGTCACTTCCCATGGGGTGGGAGAGTGGATAGATGCACCGGTGTACCATCTTTCTTTCTCCATTCACCTTTTGTAAAATGGAGGTGATTCTGTCCCACCTCACAGGGCTCTTAGGAGACAAGTGTGCTAAAGGTTATTTTATTTATTTAAAAAATCGTATCCCATTCACTCAGCCGTGTCAAGTACCTTGTACCAAGATATAAGCGATGACTTCACAAGGAAGTGTGCAGATGAGGATGCTGTCTTATCTTAACATGAAGCTGTGAGCCCCTCAGAAGTCATGCTGGCCTACCTGGTGGAGACAGTGAGCAGATACCGGCCAATGCTTAATTTTCCCACAATGCCCCTGACATAGCTTTGCTCTGGGGATTGTGGGAAATGAAAATGACCACTCTGCCCTCACGCACACACCCCATTTGTGTTCTTACAGGCATTGTGAGAAAAATTAAATGGCACTTTAGAATCCTGATTGCCCAGTCTGCCATGGAGCTAGGAGACGGCGTTTGCATTTTGGGGGTGGGGAGTGGGCTGAATTCCCAGCAGCTGGGGCTAAATCTTTGGGAAGAATTCTGCATGCTTGGTTACACGATCTTGGAATGAGGCTTGTGCCCTTGGGAAGCACCTGGAAGCTTTAGCTGGTATACAGGGCAGCTAGGTTACAAACCGTGATGTAGTGTAACGAAGGAACCACCATAATACTGAAAAGTTTTCCTTCATTGCCAAGGCTCAGTTCAAAGGGATATTTTTAAAACTCCTCTGGAGGGGATACCTGCCATGCCTGGATTGACACAAGCCCATCAGAAAGATAGGAAACAGTAGCCTTTCCACAGTGCCCATGAGCTGCTGAACTTTGCAGCTAAGATTCTAGTCCCTGGTTTTTTCCCCCTCCTCCCTTCCAATTCCCTTTCCTTTCTGTTCTTTTTCTAGGTTGTAAGACTGTGGGCAGAGAGTCCTTTAAGAAATATCTTTGTAAGCAGCTTTGGGAGTATTTAGCTAAAGGGCGGGTCAAAAATTCTAGAAAGAGCTTTCTCTAGTGTTGCTTCCAAAACCTGGAATGCATTCTCTTTGGAGCTGCAGCTGGTCCCCAGTGCCTAGTCCAAACACATCTTTTTAATCTGACTTTTAAAGTAAGTTTCTAAGCTTGCTGTTAATTTTTTCTGGTTTTTGGAGTATGAGTTTTATTGTCTGATCCTTTGGAAAACCGCTTCAGTGGATTTCAGAAAAATGGCGCAGAAATGCATTAAATTTATTGGCCCCGAATAGCAAAGAAATTTATCTGTTAATGTAATTTAATGCAAGGTGGCAGAGTGATGCCAGATAACTCAGCACAAACAACTCTGGCTGAAGGATGGCTTTGCAGACCAAAATGCTCCCATTAATTAAAAGAAAAGAGAATGTCAGCCTGGCTTTCTCCAGACATATTCATTTAACTGATTTATCAGTTGAGTTCTGGTCCTGGTAGTTGAGCATATATATGTTCAGAGACACTTGGTTCCTCAAATCTGCATCTCCCTTCTTGAGCTCTGTAGATGAATTCTGTGGTTCCAGTAGCGTTCGACCCTAGTGCTCTTCTAAAGAGCCACTGCAGTGCAATGGTTAAGAGCTCAGGTGATCTGAGTAATCGACCCTTCTCGGCCATGAAACCTACTGTGGGTGACCTCTCAGCCTAGCCTACCTCACAGGGTTGTTCTTGTGAAGAAAAGGTGGAGACGAACCTTGCAAGCTGCCTTGGGCTCCTTAACGGAGGAAGAAAGGGGGCTATAATTGTGATAAAAGAGGTAAGAAGAAAGCAGAATGGGCAGAAAGCAGCTCTCCAGATGGCTTGCATTTCATTTCCTAAAGCCAATGGGCAAGAATGCTGGAAGCATGTCCCAAAATCTTGTCATTACTTTGTTTTAAAAATGGATAAATGTTGTATGCTAAACATCTTACGTTTTGATTACGTTGCATTTTTGTGAGGTGGGTTGTCATTGTTATGAGCTGTCCAAGAGTTTTGGCTTATTCGGAGGTATAGAAATGAATGAAACAAAATCAAACAGAAAGATTGTGCAAGCTTGTGGGTTTTGCAGAACTCTTCATCAGGCTAAGGAAAAAGGGGGAGGGTGGAAAAAAAAGATAGTTTTACTTCACTCCCCAGCGGAAAAAAAATACCCCCGCCCTGAAAAGGCCATTTAAAAAAAAATCTTAGTGCCCTACTTAAAGGCGCATGCGCACACAGCCTCTCTCTCTCCCACGTGCTTCTAAGCAGGAGAAGCCCTTCAGCGGCTTCTCTCTTCCCATCCCCTTTGCCTGAGAGGTCACGTGAGGCCGAGGTCGGCAGCGGTTTTTTTTTTTTTTAACATTCCTCCAACTCTATGGTGCGTGGCCCGAGAGGTGCGGGCCCCTC